GCCCTTTCTTCGTCTTTGTTTGGAGCGTATACATTAAAAACATTAAATTTAAAATCATCAACAATAAAATCGACTCTGATAATTCGCCCTTCTTTGTCCTTTGATTGAGATAATACACAGTTTTTCATATTGTTTTTACATAATATTGCAACACCCCTTCGATTATTATTAGAATTACTCATATAAATCGGTCCATCCCACATTCTTTCCACTTTTTGTAAAATAGTGTCATCCCAGAAAGTCTCCTGTAGCGCAATGATGTCGCTATTGGTTTCACATATTTTCGCGAAAAGTTTTTCTAGCTTTTTATCGTCTCGTAGTCCGTTGACGTTCCAAGTTGTTATCTTGGGCATTGTAGAATTAAAAGTATTAAAATATAGTAAAACCACTAGATAAAGGTTTAAAATGGTTAAGGGTGTGCACACAAGCATTGTTATTTCCTACCAAGTTTAATCTTTGGAATCGGCGTCGAACTTTGTGGGGTGTCACTTCTTGTTCTCACACTTTTTAGTTTTTTAGGGGTTACCTTTTTGTCTACCGGTATTCTCTTATATTTTATTAATGTTCCGTTTTCATCGGATTCGTCACTTTCCATTGACTGTTCGGGTTCGCTTTGGGGTGAATCGTGACATTCGCTTTCGTGGTTTTCAATGTTTCGTTTCGGCGTGCGGTATTCAGTTGGTGGTGAGATGTTTGAGTAGTCTTTAGAGAATGTTGCATCGTTTCGCACTGATGAGTCGTGATCTTTGTTAATTTGTTTTTTGTGTTTTTTCTCTTGTTGAGTTTCGGCGGGAGATAAACTTAGCTCACGTTTCTTGTCACAGTTAATATTGTTAAGTTCACTGGTCTCACCTTCGTTTGTATCGTAAAAGTTTTCCTCACATTCACATTTAAACTTGAAACATTTGTCACATTTTTCCTCCGTACATTTAAATGCCATATGTCCAAACTCCCTACATTTTCTGCACTGAATTAATGGGCATTCTTTCTTCTCGTGATCTGGTGACAGGCACTTGAAGCAAACTTT